GCCTAGAGTCTGCACCTCCCCCCTGCCTCAAATGGACCATGTCCACGGAGACACCGACAACGAGCCCTGTTCAGCATGAACAGAAAATGATGTCGGTCTCTGTGCTTCCGTACCAGCTTCGATCGTCACGAGCACTGCCTGCGTCTGCACCTCCCCCCTGCCTCAAACGGACCATGTCCACGGAGACACCGACAACGAGCCCTGTTCAGCATGAACAGAAAATGCTGCCCGCCGCTGTGCTTCCGTACCAGCCTCGATCGTCACCGGCACTGCCCGCGTCTGCACCTCCCCCCCCTGCCGCCACCGGCCCCAGAAACAGAACTTTCCCCCTCCTCCTCCTCCTCCTCCTCCTCCTCCTCCTCCTCCTCCTCCTCCTCCTCCTCCTCCTCCTCCTCCTCCTCCTCCTCCCCCTCCTCCTCCCCCTCCTCCCTCCCTCCCCCTCCTCCTTCTCCTCCTCCTTCTCCTCCTCATTCTCCTCCTCCTCCTCCCCCTCCTCCTCCTCCTCCCCCTCCCCCCCCTCCCCCTCCTCCTCCTCCCCCTCCCCCCTCAAGCACATGTGGCTCCGTCCCATCCGTAGGCCCCCTTTTTGGCTTATCGCTGGGTCATGGTCGCGCCCTGCGCCTCCGCGTGGCGCTTGAGGGACTTCAAGGCTGTCCGCACATCTGGCGGTTCTTTTCTTGACGACGAAGCAGGGCAAACGAAAATTCATAGTGTGCTACGGGAGGTCGGCCCTTGGATGGCTGGCCAGACGTCGTGCAGGCGGTCGCACGCCGAGCGGCGGGCCGCCCAACGGCGCGCTCGCGATTCTTGCGAGCGTGGGCGATTCTTGCGAGCGTGGGCTGCGGCGGGCGCTGCGCGGCCAGGCCGCCTTTCCCGTTGCCGGCAAGCCGCTGCACCCGATGGTGACCACGCTGCTGCACAGCGTGGAGACGGGACCAGCCCTGAACATGTCGAAGGGCAACGTGTGGTACTCCTCAGTCCTGGAGTGCTTCGTGGGCAAGGCATGCGCGGCGGAGGTGAACGACGCCCTGGGCCTGCGCACGGACGCGGAAGTCTTCGATCCTGCCGCAGGGTGCTGGGAGCAGCCGCCCACGCCAGGAGCGCCATGCACCTGCGGTGCACTTGTTCTCTCAGGCCACAGGAGACGACAATTCAGTTTGCCAGATTGGGTGGTCAATGCACGGACATGCATTTCCAAGAAATCAAGTCAGAACACAGAAGTTTCCCATAATGCCGATGGGCCAGGGGGCACTGGTCAACAAGGCCCCTCGGACGCCGTGGCCGCGCGCCGCGCAGGCGAATGGGGCACTGATCATCAAGACCCCCCCGGACGCCGTGGCCGCGCGCCGCGCAGGCGAAAGGGGCACTGATCATCAAGACCCCTCGGACGCCTCGGCCGAGCGCCGCTCAGCAGGAGCAGCGTGGTGGGAAGCTCGTGCTCTTGTCTCTCGTGCCTGGCTTGCAGATCCAGCCCCTGTTGAGGGCACTGCCGAACAGCCGCAGGTGTCGACCGAGAGGGCCACCGTGGCGGTTCGGCCTGCGACAGCTGCCCCAAGCTGGGAATCCTGCGAAGACCGTGCGAGACTTCTACGCGATGCTGATATCCTTCGTGTTGGGCCGTCAACCTCGTTCATTCCCAGTGGCACGGCTGTGATTGATTGGTCCAGTGCTGCTCCACAGAACGAAGAGCAAGACTGCAAGCAAATGTGATTTTCTCAGTGCCGTTGGTTGTTTCACGTACTTGTGAACCTTATTTTACCTATTCGATTGCAACAGTCCACGTTCCTTGTTCTGGCTGAATGGAGGGAAGGGGTGAAATTCCTGCACGAACGCTGTTTTCTGTATCTGGACTGAGGTACTCGTACGAGGTATCGTCATGTTCCTCGTGCTTCTCGGCCCAATCTGCCAGTTCTGGGGCGTGGTGTCCACCTACCATGGCGACCTCATGGGCTTCCCGTTCCTCGCGTGCCTGGAGAAGCTCAGGGGTGGCGACAGGTGTTATAATCATACCGCTACGCGATCAAGCAGAGTCTGCAGAGTCTCCTCCCCCTCCCCCTCCTCCTCCTCCTCATCTTCCTCCTCCTCCTCCTCCTCCTCCTTCTCCTCCTCCCCCTCCTCCTCCTCCTCCTCCTCCTCCTCCTCCTCCTCCTCATCCTCCTCCCCTCCTCCTCCTCCTCCGCCCCCCCCTCCTTCTCCCCCTCCTCCCCCTCCCCCTCCTCCTTCTCCTCCTCCTCCTCCTCCTCCTCCTCCTCCTCCTCCTCCTCCTCATCCTCATCCTCATCCTCCTCCTCCTCCTCCTCCTCCTTTCCTTCCTCCTTCTCCTCCTCCTCTTCCTCCTCCTCCTGGGGCAGGGGGCCCGGGCCCTCGTAGCGACCCCAGGGGGGGGCGACTGCACCCAAGGTCGGTGGGGGCACGGCGCGCGCTCGTTCAGCACTGGCCCTCGCGCTGCCTCGTCTCTGCCGCGCCGTTGCCCCCCCAAACCCTGGCCATCCTCCTCCTCCTCCTCCTCCTCCTCCTCCTCCTCCTCCTCCTCCTCCTCCTCTTCCCTCCTCCCCCCTCCCTCCCTCCCTCCCTCCCTCCTCCCTCCTCCCTCTCTCCCTCCCTCCCTCCCTCCCTCCCTCCCTCCCTCCCTCCCTCATCTCTCCCTCCTCTCTTCCTCCTCTCTACCTCATCTCTCCCTCTTTTTCCTCTTTTCTCCTCCTCCTGCTGCTGCTTCCTCCTCCTCGTCCTCCTCTGGCAGGCGCGGAGGGGGAGGGAGGGGAAAGACTGAGGGGCAAGGCGGAGGCCGCTGAAGGCCATAGAGAGGCCAGAGGAAAGCAGCAGAACGACGACTGAGGAGATCACGAGCATCGCTCCTCGAGGAGGAGCAGGCCTCAACGCCCCCCCCCGTCCCCCACCGACGCGAGAACGAGGAGAGAGAGAGAGAGAGGTGGAGGAGTAGGGCGAGGAAGAGGAGGAGAGACAGGGCGGAGGTCTCTGACTGCCACGGGGGACCAGACAAAGAGGCCCGAGCACGCGAGGAGCAGGCCTCGATGGCTCGAGGGGCGCCGAGCGGCACATTCGTTGAGGCCACGACGCGGCAGACCGAAGGATGCGGGGCCCCGAAGAGGAAGCAGGAGAAGAGGGTGGAGAGCAGGAGGAGCGGGAGCGGTGGGTGGGGGGGGGCTTCGCCCGCCGTTCGGCCGTTCCCTCCCTTTCGTCCTTGTGTCTGCCTGGCTTGCCTCCCTTCCCCACCGGCTTCTGGCCAGGGCGGGGGGGGGGAGGTGACCACATGTGAACCCTACCCCCGCCCCCCACAGTTTCTAAGGGGGGTCATTTCGCCCGGGAGCTCCCGGACGAAGTGAACCCCCACCCCCCCCGTTAGAAATCGTGGGGGGTGGGGTTAGGGTTCACATGTGGCCACCGAGTCTGCACGAACGAAATGGGTACGGAAAGAATGGGTGCAATGCCCAACAGCAGTTCCAATTTATTCTGAACAGGACTCGCTGTCCGCGCCGCCGCGGCCTGTGCCCATCTGAGACAGAAGGCCGCCTGCCCAACAGCGGCCGCTGTTGGTGTGGGGCAACATGTGTTGTTGGGCACTGTAACCATTTTTCCGCACAGGGCAGTTTGTAATACATCGGATGTTTAGAAATATAGGGTTTTGAACACATGATCAACGCATGGGTAAATCTATGCATGAACGCATCGTTGCTGTTAATACGAAATCCCTGCATGTTTTGTTGAATACATGATCCGCACACGGAGCATGTATGAAAAACTGCACTGTACCCATTTCGGGCGTCCAGACCGAGGGGGGGGGGGGGGGGGGAAGAAGTCGTGGGCCACGCGAGCGCAGGAGCGGAGGCAGGAGCGGGACGCCGGGGGCGGAAGGGAGGGGGGGAGGGGGCAGCGGCCCCCCCTGCCGCGCGCGGACGTGTTAGCTTCTGGCCGAGCGGCGCAGGATCCGCCCCCCCCCACGGGAGACCCCCGCGCTGCGGATATGTCGCGCCGGGCGGAAGGGGGGATAGCAAAGGGGGGGGTTGAGAATCGGCTCACGTAGCTGATTTTCCCAGCGCCTCCCGGCGCCAGAGGCGGCTATGTATCGAGGCATGGGCCCCTCGGTGAGGCCGAAACCAGCTGCATGCAGCAAATTTCGTCACCCCCCTTTCCCAATCCCCCCCTTTCGTCTGGCCCGATAATGGCAGTTGTCTGGGGTGGTGGCCGTGAGGCAGCCGCGAGGTAGCTCTCAGACCAACCCAGAGCAGCAGAGGGGCGCGAAGGGGGTGATGTGCAGTACGCGTGCGAGAACGGTGTCGGAACACGTGCCACCCTGTCAGCGTCCAGTAGTGTCTATCAACGCCCCTTTTTGCGATGGCAGCCGAACAAAAGCAATATCAAGAGAGGCATCATGTAAGAAACCTGGGCCAGCTTCTCGGAGGCTTCTGAAAATAGGCCTGGGCCAAGTCTGCCGTTCACGATAGAGGGGCGAACGTGCTCAAGAAACTGGGCCAGCGTGCTGCCATGTGTGGTAAGAAACGCTGGCCCAAATGCTTAAACAGAAGTTTGTGAATCAGATGCTCGACTGTACTAGCGCCCATTAGTGTCTATCAATGCCTCTACTCGCGACTAGTAACGCCGATTCCCGCCCGCCCCCGCAAGAGGAAGATACAAAGTGAACCACTCGACGATTGAAGTAGGAAGGCGCCTAGACTTAAAAGGCAACGTGAGGGGAGGACCAGCTCGGGGGGGGACAGCTAGCTCGAATCGGCGATACATCGCCGATAGATCAGCGACAGGCCCCCGATTGCAAATCCGCACGTTCACGGGCGGCGCTGGCTATCAGGCCCCTATCGCCGCGATGAATGGGCTATTGGGGGTCGCTGAACCCTCCCTGAGCCTTCCCCCTCCCACGTTGCCCCTGAAGAGTGCACAGTCGGACCTGGGCCAGAAGAACATCCCTCCCGAACATGGGACCCTCCGCCGACCCAAACCGAAAAACATCCAAGGGTGCCCTTCCCCAGGATGCGCAAGAACATCCAACAAACACGAAGAACACCAGGGCACCCTCCCCGAACCGACCTCTATCTTTTGAGCAGGGACCGACCGCCCTGGCCTTCGTATAGGCCTACCACGACATACTCTTAGAACCCACAGATGTTCTAAGAACAGAAGCAATGTGTTTTAAACTTTTTGTGGTGAACCTACAGTGGAGGCCAGTCCACAAGAAGCCCAACCCTGAGACACCAGCGTCCATGGGTTCTTGGCCCGGGAACCTCACGCACTCCACAGCGACACCATCGAAGCCCAAGAAACCCAGGGCACCCTGGAGGCAAGCAGGGCGTCTCCTGGCATGGGCTTCCACTGCACAGGCACGCCGGGACGCTTCGCCACTGCTGGAATCGGATACCTCGGCCCGACGGTACTCGTCACGCGAGCCCCGACGCTGCGCCAGCGTCCCAGGCCAGCTTCCAGGCCAGCAGGCTCCCCCGTGCGCGCCTCGACCCGTCAGCACCGGCTGCCTCGCCTCGGCAGCACCACGCCGATCCGCCCCGGGCTCCTCCACCCCAGACCTCCTCCTCCTCCTCCTCCTCCTCCTCCTCCTCCTCCTCCTCCTCCTCCTCCTCCTCCTCCTCCTCCTCCTCCTCCTCCTCCTCCTCCTCGTCACGCCACCAGACGTGTCGTTTGCTGTCTGTCCTGTCGCACCCCGAGGCGTGTCGCACACCGAGGCGTGTCGAAGTAGGGCGGGCAACGTTTCGACTGAGACGACCTCACCATTGATGGCCCTGAAGCTAGACATTTGCAAGAGCTTCCCGGACGGAATGCGGGCCGCTTTCAAAATACAAATGGAGGGCGGGTCGTTCTGAAAATGTGGCTCTCGCCTGAGCGCCGCGCACACACAGGTTTCGCGCGTGGTGGGCAGCTCGTTTTCAAAATGTGGCTCTCGCCTTTACGCCGCGCACAGTCGTCTTACAACACATGCAAGAGCTTCACGGATTGAGGGCGGTTGAGTTTCAAAATGTGGCTCTCGCCTCAGCGCCGCGAACATCCGCTGATCCAAGGAATGGTGCTCTGGCACAGTTCAGGATCATCGAGACGCAACAATAAAAAGGTAATTCGAGACCCCAGGAATGGTGCTCGGGCACAGTTCAAGATTTTCAAACGATTGACTTCCAACGGGGCACTACCCTAAGTGAAAATGAACCCTTGCAGGGGCCTACAAAGAGGGAACTTGGAGGGAGCGGTTATGGCAATATCGCTGACGAGTCTTGGGTTTACACTGGTCCTCTCCTGCTCCTCCTCGTCCTCCTCCTCCTCCCCCTTCTCCTCCTCCTCCTCCTCCTCCTCCTCCTCCTCCTCGCCCCCCATCCCTCCTCCTCCTCCTCCTCCTCCTCCTCTCCTCCTCCTCCCCCTCCTCCTCCTGCTCCTCCTCCCCTTCCTCCTCCTCCTCCTCCTCCTCATCCTCCTCCTCCTCCTCTTTCTCCTCCTCCTCCTCCTCTTCCTCCTCCTCCTCCTACATCGATCCTCGCTAAAAATCAATCGAGGAGTCTGGCATGTCGGTCTTACCTGCCGCCTCTGGCCCTGTCTCGGCCCACAGCTGAAGATTGTGGGCGTCGCTTACTGGAGGGGCGATGTATGGGGGGGAGAAGGGACAGGTGCCCTTTTCGGGCCCTACAGATCCCCGTTTCGGCCCTGCAGGCCCCATTTGGGGGCCCTACATCCCCCCTCGAAATCAAACGCAAGTTTTTCACACGGCGTGGCGGCGCCCCAGCACCCCAGAATTTCAACGCCCGCGCCGAAACACTGGCGACTGCAGACGCCAAAACCTGGCCCACGGGGGTCCGATCTGTGGGCCTGCGGTCGCCGAGTGTCGGCGCGAGCACCGAAATTCTGGGGCTCTGGGGCGCCGCCACGCCGCGGAGGGGGGGCGCCATGGGGGGCCCTCGTCTGCAGCCCTCGCTACCCCCCCCCCGTTTCCCGCCCCCCCGCTTCGGGGAACGAGGGCTGTGCACATACCCCGATTCTGGCCGGGCCCATCCTGCGCCCAGGATCGGCGCATACGCTCTCCTACCCTGGCCAGGAGGGTACGTGCGCCGATCCTGGGTCAAGGATGGACGCTGTCGGGATCGGCGCATGTGCCTAGTTCTCTTCGCCCCACCACTGCGCGACGCCCAGAGCCGTAAGGGCAAGTTCCGAAGACTTCCGAGCCTTCTGAGAAGGCCCGCCCCTTCTCAATTCCCCCCGGGCTCGCCGCCGACAGAAAGGGGCACTCCAGATCCCTTCTGAATCGGCCCCCGGGGCCGGCTTCACAAGCTCCGCTGTGCAGGCTGGGGGGGGGGGGACAGATAGGTCGGGGCCGTTTCGCGAGGCCGAAGTGTAGTACCAGGGGGGCCGGTCTGTAGGGGACCTCTCGCGGCGCGGGCAGGGGGGCGGCCAGGCCCTCTTGGCACGCGCCGGTGCTCACCAGCAGCGCTGCCGCCACAGTGCTTTGTGCGCCCCCCGTGGAGGAGGCGCAGGGCCGAGCCCAACATGTACAGCACACGGCGTGCTGCAGCACAGCGTTGCCCCGGCGGCGTGGCCAGAAAGCGCCCGCCGCCGGGCATGTACCAGGAGTCAGCGCGATGCTCCGTTGTATGCGTGCTCGCTTTGACGCAGCGTGGCCCTGGGAATGCTTCTCCAACGCCGTCGCTATGGCTTTGCTGGCCGGCCATCCCGGAGAGCTCACAAAGGCTCGCGGCTCCGCAGCAGGGCACGTCTGCATCTTCATCGGCCGTCCGCGGCACGCGGGACCAGCTATGCAAGTCTCCGCCGATGGCCAAAAACTTCCAGCACATGGCAAGTATCGGCGGTGGACAAACCTCCCTTTAGTAAACCTCCCTTTAGTGAAAACGGCCTAGGACCGAAACTGACGGACCTAGACCCGCAAAATAACGGCCGCGACGCCCTCTCGCCAACCGAAAACGGCCCATTCACTAATCGACCTGTCAGGGTGGGAGGCCTGTCCACCTCCGAAAGTATAAGTATACTGGGGTAATGCGATGCTGCAGCACACCCTCCCGCCCCAAGGAGGATCCTTCAGACGCACTCGCTGTCGTCGCGGGAGGCGCCCCCTTCAGAGGGTGATGCCGAGGGCAGGCTTCCCACACCTCTGGCGCCTCTAAGACTCACACCAGGGGGAGGGGGGGAGCCACTTTTTGTCAGAGTCTGGAGGCAATCGAAAAACGACTCAGGATCAAAAGCCCGCACGAGGGAGGCCGGTGCCCAGACAGGAGGGCCAGAGTAGAGCCAGGATGCATCGACGACGCTGCGGCACACTCTCCCGCCCCAAGTACACAAAGTCTTTAGACGCACTCGTTGTGTGAAGTTGGAGTTTTTTGTTTTTAGACGCACTCGTTGTCATCACGGGAGGCACCCGCTTCAGAGACGAGCACCCGCCACATCAGCATGCCGATCAAGCGAGAGCCCCGTTTTGAAATGGAGGCGGCCTCCATCCTTCAGCAACGCATAAGCGAAGGACCCAACCATATGCAGTTGTGAATACCGCGCTGTGGCACCCATTCGGTGAAGCTCCCTATGGGGCCAATGTAAATGGTGTACCGAAGTGCGCGGGGAACCGCACGAGAACCCTGACACTGGGGCCTTAGGTGGAACCCCCTTTACGGGGCCGCGAAGCTCGTGAGGGGTGTGCCGAAGTGCGCGGGGAACGGCACGCGAATCCTGTCGTTTGGGCCTTGGCTGGAGCACCCCACGGGACCACGACACGTGTGACAGGTGTGCTGACATGGGCGGGGAACTGCATGCGAACTTTGTCACTGGGGCCTTCGGTGGAGCTCTCTATGGGGCCACGAAGCGTGTGAGGGGTTTGCCGAAGTGCGCGGGGAACCGCATGCGAGCATTACCTCTAGGGGCTTCGGTAGAGCTCCCTGTGGGGCCACGAGACGTGTAAGGGGTGAAGTGCGCGGGGAACCGCACGCGAACTTTGCTACGGAGGCCTCCGGTGGAGCTCCCGATGGGGCCACGACACGTGTGACGGGTGTGCCGAAACGGGCGGGGAACCGCATGCGAACTTTACCACTGGGGCCTTCGGTGGCGCTCCCTTTGGAGCAACTACACGTGTGACGGCTGTGCCGACAGTAGCAGGGAACTGCATGCGAACTTTGCCACTGAGGCCTTCGGTGGAGCTTCCTATGGGGCCACGAGACGTGTGACAGATGTGCCAACATTGGCGGGGAACCGCATGCGAACTTCGCCACTGGGGTCGTCGGTGGAGCTCCCTACGGAGCCACCACACCTGTGAGGGGTGTGCCGAAGTGCGCGTGGAACTGCACGCGAATCCTGTCGTTTGGGCCTTGGCTGGAGCACCCCACGGGACCACGACACGTGTGACAGGTGTGCTGACATGGGCGGGGAACCGCATGCGAACTTTGTCACTGGGGCCTTCGGTGGAGCTCTCTATGGGGCCACGACACGTGCGACAGGTCTGCCGATACGGGCGGGGAACCGCATGCGAACTTTGCCACTGGGGCCTTCGGTGGAGCTCCCTGTGGGGCCACGAGACGTGTAACGGGTGTGCCGACATGGGCGGGGAACCGCATGCGAGCTTTGCCACTGGGGCCTTCGGTGGAGCTCCCTGTGGAGCCACGAAGCGTGTGAACAGGTTGACATACGAAGGGCAGAGGCAAGGCTCGGAGGAGGGACGGGGAGGAGGAGGAAGGAGAAGGATCGCGGCGCGCTGTCTCTTCAAAACGAGGACCCAACACCACAGGATGGTTAGTAAAAACGACGGTGTCACTCAAGAGGCACATCTTGAGAATGAGGCGTCATCCATCGTGGCTGTTCTAGAATGTTAAAACTGCTGGCCGCAATCTCGACGGAGGACGCCCCACGACAGAGAGCACCATTTCAAAAAAAAATCTGACTGTAACAATGGACATGTGTTGAAAGATCCGCAGGTCTCCTTGGGGAGGGCAATTGGCTGCGAGGCGGAGGTGTTCCAGTGCCCTGCGCCAGTTCAGGCGCCCAAGCTATACTTAGGAACGTTATCTGTCCTAGTTCCACTGTCGTTAGTGGTTGAAGTCCGCGCAAGTCGGGCAGCCCGAAAATCGGCAAGTCCCCCTCCCAGAATCACATCCTCGGAACTTATGCGGGTGCACTGGGACACGCAGAATACCTATACGACCACCCTGCGGGTAATAAGGAGGTTGGGGGGGGAGGGGGCCAGCAATGGGCAATTGCGGTGATTGTTGTTCTGACTGTGATCTCACCGACGGGACACCGATGGGACACCGACGGGACACAATCGATCTCACTGTCGATCTCACTGTCGATCTCACTATCCATCCAATTATCGATCTCACTATCGATCTCGCTATCACTATCACTATCGATCTCGCTTTCGATCTCACTATCGATCTCACTATCGATATCACGATCGATCTCGCTTTCGATCTCATTATCGATATCTCACTATAGATCTCACTATCGATCTCACTATCGATCTCATTATGGATCTCACTATCGATCTCACTATCGATCTCACTGTCGATCTCACCACGGGACACCACGGGACAACGACGGGACACCGGCGGGACACTGGCGGGACACCGGCGGGACACCGGCGGGACACCAGCGGGACACCAGCGGGACACCGGCGGGACACCGCGCGCCACCGGTTGCCAGGCGGAGAACCTTTTGGTCCGGCCGCGGCCCAGCCACGATGGGACACCGGCGGGACACCAGCGGGACACCGGCGGGACACCGGCGGGACACCGCGCGTCACCGGTTGCCAGGCGGAGAACCTTTTGGTCCAGCCGCGGCCCAGCCTCAGGAGAGTTTCTTCTCCCCCGCCCACGCAGCTTCGCCTCGCCCGCACGCACGCCACGAACACGAAACCGAAATCGATTTCCCAGTAGCGGGGCTCTCCGTTCCACTTCGATCTCACCCCCCAACCTCCGACCACAGCTTCGCGCCCTCGAGGACACAATCCCTCGTACACGTGTTCTTCTTATCGAGGCCAGAGCCCTCGCAAATTACCGCGCGCTCGCGCTCCCGAGGCCTCAATCCCACGTGAGTTACGCCAGACTCGCGTGCCCCTGGGCCATAATCCCTTTTGTAAATTTGCCGTAGGCAGCTCGCGCTCCCGAGAGGCCATATAACCCGAAGTGAATGACTACACGCCTGCGCCCCCGAAGCTACAATCCTTCGTACAGTATGACGGATTTGCGCCGCCGTGGCCTCAACCCCACATGTATTACGCCAGGCTCGCATTTCCCACGCCAAAGCCCTCTGTATGGTACTCTGGATTCGCGCTCCCAAGGCCACAACCATTCATAAAAAAACGAACAGGCTGGGTCACGAAACCAGAACCCCTTGTAGTAGGTTACATATTGGCGCTCCCGAGGCCACAAGCACTCGGAAATTACACCAGAACCGCGTTCCCCATGCCACAACTGCTTGGAATGTACTACAGATTCGCAATGCCGAGGTAACATTCCTCAGCACAGTGCGACAAGCTGGCGTCCCCAAAACCAACTCCCCATTGCAACCTACCACGAGTTTGGCGCTCCCAAGACCACAATCCCTCGTAAATTATACCAGGCTCGCGCTCCTCAAGCCACGATTCGTTGCACATTACGCCGAATTCGCGCTCGAGAGGCTTGCGTCCCCGAAGCCACGCCCACTCTCAAATGTATTCCAATGCTGGCTCCCGAGGCCACAAGCCCATACATGTTTCTGGATTGAGCTGTGTGTTCGGGTGGCGCTTGTTCGGCCCCCCCGTGCTTGCATGAGAATTCGAGCCGGGGTTCGGAGTCGCGAGCCCTGGTAAACAGCCGAAGCCTCGAACCCTTGTAGATTGAATCGGGCGCGCGCTCCCGAGGCCAACATCCTACCTGAATCCTTGCAGACGCGCCCCATCAGCCAGCCAGCGAACAGCCCAAACCACTTGCCAGGTATCTGCTTAGACTACTGGATGCCACGACAGACACCCTAACAGTCCTATCCTTGAATTTAAACTGTGTCTAAAATGTCGGAAAATGTCCTAAACATGTGTTAAGCCTGTGCTCTACATGTTTAAAACATGTGTTTCACCTGCGTTAGACATCTGGAAGTTATTTGGCAACATGCTTCCTCTCCATTGGTCGTCCTCCTCAAGCTTAGACTTATGTCGGGCCTGTCCCCCTACAGGGGGATTTTCAATGAAAAATAAAAAAAACGCGAAAATGCTTTAAAAACTCAAAAAAATAATCTGGGGGCTATTTTTCTTGTATTTTTTGACCCGTTTGGGGTATTTTTGAATTGCATTATTGTTCGTCGAAAACCCCCCTGTAGGGGGACACGCCCGACATAAGCTTAGACAACAAGCCAATCGGCCGAGTTTCTGCTCGGAGTTCCCAGGCCTCAGGGCCCCAAGCCGCGAGGAAAGCCTCGGGCGCAATGCCGGGCCCGCCCTGCCGACGCGCCTGGCGGCGCAACGACAAGGAGGCAAGTGGTAGGAGGGAGGAGGGGGAGGAGGGGAGGAGGAGGAGGAGGAGGAGGAGGAGGAGGAGGAGGAGGAGGAGGAGGGAGGAGGAGGAAGGAAGGGAAGGGAAAGAAGGAAGGAGGCGGAGGAGGAGGCGGAGGAGGAAGGGAGGAGGAGGGGAGGAGGAGGAGGAGAGAGGAGGAGGAGAGGAGGAGGAGGAGGGAGGAGGAGGGGGAAGGAGGAGGCGGGAGGGGGGGAGGGGAGGAGCAGGAGGGAGGGGAGGAGAGGAGAGAGAACGCAGGGGAGGACGAGGAGACACGCTGCAACACCCGCGGTCGGAGCAGCTCCAGCGCAATGTGGACGAGGAGGGCCAGAGCGCTGCCGTGCAGGCCACGGGCTCTGGCCGCAGGAAGCAGCCGGGCTCTGGGGGGGAGGGCCTCCCCCCAGGGCCAGCGCTTTTAGCCTCGAGAGGCCTGCCGACGGTCCAGGGGGGCACGGGGAGGTCCCGCGAGCGCCCGAAGTCGGAGAGAACACCGAGAGGGCCCGCCTCCCTCGGGGCCCTCCTCCTCCTCCTCCTCCTCCTCCTCCTCCTCCTCCTCCTCCTCCTCCTCCTCCTCCTCCTCCTCCTCCCTTCCCGGCATGGCGCAAGACAGGAAAACGGGAAGGACAACTGTGAGGGGCAGCGATAGGGAGGACCACAGCTCGCGGGGGGGGGATGTCTCGGCCCTGGGAACGGCGGCGCGTCGCCGACGGATCGGAGAGAGGCCCCCGAGAGCGATGCCGCACGATCCTGGGCGGGGTGGGATATCTGGCCCCTCTCGGCGATGAGTGGGCGATTGGTGATGGGCCTGTTTTCCACCACCACCACCACCACCATAAGTTGGAGGGGGAGGGTGCCCTCCTCCTCCTCCTCCTCCTCCTCCTCCTCCTCCTCCTCCTCCTCCTTCTTCGTCCTCCTCCTCCTCGTCCTCCTCCTCCTTCCCAACTCCAACTTATGGTGGTGGTGGTGGCGGAAAACACGCCCATCAATTGGGGTCGACGCATTCCCCCCCCTGAGCTTTCCCCGTAACCCCCCGCAACGTTGCCCCTGAAAGCGCACATCAGAAGAAGGAAGCCCTGCCTGGTGAGGCTTCGGGCTGCGCACTGACAGGCCCCCCAGGCAGACCCGACTGGCCTCAACGGGCCCCCCGAGTAATCCCAGCCGGCCTCAAAAGGCCCCGCACGGCACTAGGGTGCTGAGACCGTCCCTGACTACTACGCGGGGAGCGTGTTAAGGCCAGCTGGGACTACTGGTGGGGCCCTTTTGAGGCCACCTTACCATCGCTCGGACGTACATTCCCCGTGCACTGTTTGGTTACAGGCGTGTTTCCTTCTTCTGGGTGATATACTCCAACATGGTCCAGACTCTCTGGCGCTGGCCTCGCCGACAAACACTGCACACGTCCGAGCAGTGTCGAGAAGCTGGGACTACCTCGGGAGCTGTCTGTGCGCAACAAGCAGTCGTACCAGCCCTGTCGGTGACCGATCGTCGTCGTCGTCGTCGTCGTCGTCGTCGTCGTCGTCGTCGTCGTCGTCGTCGGCGTCGGCGTCGGCGTCGGCGTCGGCGTCGGCGTCGGCGTCGGCGTCGGCGTCGGCGTCGGCGTCGGCGTCGGCGTCGGCGTCGGCGTCGGCGTCGGCGTCGGCGTCGTCTTCGTCGTGGCCGAGGCCGCCTCGCCAGGCGCGACGGAGCGAGCCGAGCCACGAGAAGCGGATCCCGGCGCCGCTGGGCGCCCCGCCAGCCGCGCGGGGGCCGCCCACTGCCACATCTGCGGAGCGCCTGGGGGTCGGGGTCGGGCAGGCGGGAGCTGGAGCACCACCACCCGATCTCAGCGCACGGAGTGCGGGCCAAAAAGGGGAGGAGGAAGGAGGAGGAGGAGGAGGAGGAGGAGGAGGAGGAGGAGGGAGGAGGAGGAGGGGGGAGGAGGAGGAGGAGGGGGAGGAGGAGGAGGAGGAGGGAGGAGGAGGAGGAGGAGGAGGAGGGGAGGAGGGGTTCGGGGGTTGCGGCTCCTCCCGACCAAAGTGCCCCGGCCGTGGCAGAAGCCCGTACCGAGATTTTCGACGTGGTTTCGACGTGGTCAAGAGCCCCGCAAACGGCAACTTTAAAGTCGATACGTTGGCGCACCCAAGAAAACCACAGCCGCGAGTCGAACCATTCTCCTCTCTTCGCTCTCCCCCGCCCGATCTGGCAGAGTCGTTGCTTGAAGAGCACTGCTTACTAGGGCGCTCAGAGCGCGTGGGGCCGGGGTCTGCGGAGGCCATTGGAGACCCCTGGAGGCTCTGACGAGAAGGGCTACTGTTGCCAAAAACCCTAGATCCGTCCTCCTCCTCCTCCTCCTCCTCCTCCTCCTCCTCCTTCTCCTCCTCCTCCTCCTCCTCCTCCTCCTCCTCCTCCTCCTCCTCCTCCTCCTCCTCCTCCTCCTCCCCCTCCCTCCTCCTCCTCCTCCTCCCTCCTCCTCCCCCTCCTCCTTCTCCTGCTCCCACTCCTCCTGCTCCTCCTCCTCCTCATACTCCTCATCCTCCTTATCCTCCTCATCCGCCTCCTCCTCCCGCCCTGCCACCCCCCCCTCCTCCTCCTCCTCCTCCTTCTCCTCCTCCTCCTCTTCCTCCTCCTCCTCATCATCATCATCACATTATAGTCAGAATCAGACTCATCAGCATCAGCATCAGGTTCAGCATCAACATAATAATAATAATAATAATAATAATAATAATAATCATGATCATCATCATCATCATCATCATCATCATCATCAGCATCCTCATCATCAGCAGCAGCATCATCATTATCAACATCATCATCACCACCATCACCGTCAGCATCAGCATCAGCAGCAGCATCATCTTTAGCAACCTCATCGGCATCACCATCAGCAGCATCATCATCACCATACGCATCATCATCAGCATCATCAGCAGCATCAATATCATCATCAGCATCACCATCCTCATCATCATCGTCATCATCGGCATCATCATCATCATCATCATCATCATCATCATCATCATCATCATTATCATCTTCATCATCATCATCATGATCGTCGGCATCATCATCATCAGCACCATCAGCATCAGCTTCATCAGCAGCAGCAGCAGCGGCTACCTCATCCTCCTCCTCCTCCTCATGATCATCATCATCATCAACAGCATCATAAGCATCAGCAGCAGCAGCGACATCATCATCGACAGAAGCAGCATCATCATCATCATCGCCATCATCATCATCATCATCATCATCATCATCATCAGCACCATCAGCATCAGCATCATCACCATCAGAATCGTCAACATCGCCAGCACCCATCATCAGCATCATCAGCATCAGCATCAGCATCATCATCAGCATCAGCATCAGCATCATTATCATCATAAGCAGCATCAGCATCATCATCGTCATCCTGTTCTTCATCATTATCACCTTCATCATTCACCTAATCACCAGCATCATCATTATCACCTCCGTATCATCATCATCGGCATCATCACCATCATCATCATCATCATCATCATCAGCATCCTCATCATCAGCAGCAGCATCATCATTATCAACATCATCATCACCACCATCACCGTCAGCATCAGCATCAGCAGCAGCATCATCTTTAGCAACCTCATCGGCATCACCATCAGCAGCATCATCATCACCATACGCATCATCATCAGCATCATCAGCAGCATCAATATCATCATCAGCATCACCATCCTTATCATCATCGTCATCATCATCATCATCATCATCATCATCATCATCATTATCATCTTCATCATCAGCATCATGATCGTCGGCATCATCATCATCAGCACCATCAGCATCAGCTTCATCAGCAGCAGCAGCAGCGGCTACCTCATCCTCCTCCTCCTCCTCCTCATGATCATCATCATCAACAGCATCATAAGCATCAGCAGCAGCAGCGACATCATCATCGACAGAAGCAGCAGCATCATCATCATCATCATCGCCATCATCAGCATCATCATCATCATCATCATCATCATCATCATCATCACCATCAGCATCAGCATCATCACCATCAGAATCGTCAACATCGCCAGCACCCATCATCAGCATCATCAGCATCAGCATCAGCATCATCATCAGCATCAGCATCAGCATCATTATCATCATAAGCAGCATCAACATCATCATCGTCATCCTGTTCTTCATCATTATCACCTTCATCATTCACCTAATCACCAGCATCATCATTATCACCTCCGTATCATCATCATCGGCATCATCAGCAGCATCAGCAGCATCAGCATCATCATCATCATCATCATCATCATCATCATCATCATCATCATCATCATCATCATCGTCAACAGCACCATCATCATCAGTAGCAGCATCATCAGAATCACCATCAGCAGCAGCATCGTCATCGTCAAGTTCATCATCATTACCACCGTTAGCACCATGATCGTTATCATCATCAGCAGCACCAGCAGCATCATCAGTTCCATCATCAGCATCATCATAATCAGTATCATCATCATCATCATCATCAGCGTCATCATCATCATCAGTATCAACATCGCCACCGTCATCGTCATAAGCAGCAGCATCATCATAATGATCATCAACATCGCTATCAACATCAGCGGCAAAATCAGAATTGGCATCATCAGCAGCATCAGCATCGTGGTTATCACTGCCATCATCAGCATCATTATCACCATCATCATTAGCAGCAACAGCATCGTGATCATCAGCATCATTATCATCATCGTCATCTTCATCAGCATCAGCGTCATCATCTGTCTCCTCCTCCCTGCAACGTCCTCCACCTCCTCCTCATGCTTTTGTTCGGAGGCCTCCCCGCTCTGAGAGGCCCCCCTGCCTTCCAGGAGGGCGGTTTCATGGCCTCATGGTGGCAGCCCTGCCCCTTCTAAGGAGGCAGTGCGGCCAATCGAACCTGGCGCGACCCCGATTACGAGTACGTTCCACCTGAAGCACTGTGTTGCAAGATATCGGGTAGCAGTGTTTTCAGACTTAGCATCAGTGTACATTATGGTACTGCATAGCACTGCGTTAGGACTGCAAACCATGGCACGGGCTTGAACAGCAAAACCCATAGCAGCACAAAAGATAGCATGGCATAGCAGAACGATACGCTGTAAAAGATGGTGCAGCAGATGTACTGTTCTGGATATCATCGCGCTTCATGAAACATCGCAGCACAGTTTAGCATTAAATTGTGTCACATGGCGTGGCAACACTATGCACAGCATTGAATGTCTCAGCATAGCATCGCATCGGAGAGCTAAGAAAAGTGAGCAAAAGCAACGTAAGGCAATGTAATTTTAAAACAAACATGCGAAAGCAAAGTAAAGCAGCACGAAATAAACACCCCAGAAAAAGATAGGGACCCCAGAGGAAACCTGATAACCTCTGGGCAGCCCTGCGGGAATTACATATAGCGCACTACCCTCATGCACGACCCTCTTGCACAAAATAGGCTAGAACCCCCTGGGCAGAGCATCGCTTGGAAGAAAAGAATGATCGAGCGTGGCCTCCAGAGGCCGGGAAACGATCAGGATCTATGGCGCTCTGGCAGCATTGGCTGTCTCTTACCTCTGGAAGGGGGTCTGTCCGATTGTTAAGGTTTCCCTGGCCCTGTCAGGGGGGCCGGACCACCTTGCCTCCCGATCCTCCCGCCTCCCCCAACCCGAAAAGGGAGGAGGAGTGAGGATCGCACGCCACCAAAGGGGGGAAGAAGAGACAAAGAATCCGACAGTCGGCCGAATAAGCCCCAGGGGGCCCATCGGAGAGGGCCTTTTTGCCACCCTGACAGGAAGGCCAAAGACCTGTCAGAGGCCAGCGACAGGGCCCCCCTGGGCAAAAAGCTAACCGTCTTCAAATTGGAAATCAGTGCAAGTGCACTTTTCTCGGAGCTTGACCCACTCGGGCCTCCGCTTCATTCAAGCCGAAAGCCTGCAAACAATCAGCCGAGCTGAGGGGATCGGGGATCAAACTAGCAACCCCCGCGCTTCGCTGGCCTTGCCGCTGGACCCCTGGGCCGCCGTTCAAGCCCCCGAAAACCTCCCGAGCCCGCTCCCCAGGCGACCTCCAGGGGCCTAGCTGAAAGGGGCGATTGGGTTGCTTAGAACGGAGCACGGCTCGAGCGTTCTTGCGGCCAGGGTCGAGTAAACTCGCTTGGGCCCCAGGGCAGGCAGACTTAAGGCCTCTAGCTCCACCCGAGACCGTCGCGTAACCCCCGCAGGTGGAACAACCACTTCTGGGGGCGAGCTCTTGGCCGAGCACGGGGAACTCAAGGAGCTGGTGGCCCCCCTGGGTCCAGGGGGCCTGGCGGGCGTCACTGGCCAGGCTGACCAGGTCGGGGCCCAGGGGCACCGCGGGCAGGTGCTGGGAGGGGTCCTCTGGGGCAGGATCCTCCAGGTCCTCCTCCAGGCCTTCGCCGCCCTCAAGCGAAATAAGGGTGAGCCCCTGGGCGCCCACATTGTCGTAAAGGCCTAGGTCCGAGTAATGCACCTCGGCTCGGGTTATGAGCGTAATGAGCTGGCGGGCCAGATACAGGAGACCTCTCGCGACTAGCATACCTTGCAGGTCATGTCTGCTGAGCTCTGCACCTAGCTTGGCCAGGCGGTCGGCGGTATCGCTGCCCGTCTTCTCAAAGTGGCTGGCCCTGCCCTCCCGAACATCATCCATGCTCGAGTGGGTCTTGACCTGGCAGAAAGCGATACGGGAGAAATCATTCCTGTCGTGCAGCCCTTTCCACAGGTGCATGCGAGTGTTAGCTGGACTCTCGGCCCAGCTGCGCTGGCTGCAGCAAGCAAGCGTGCCTTTACAATCTGAGTAGAGCGTGAAAGTGCCAACCCAAAAAACTGGTGGCCATAAAAACTGCGAAACCTTCGCCGTCGCGGGCGACTTGGTCTGGAAGCGTGGCTGGCGGGACAGACCCATACCAGCCTGTGATCCAGCGGCGCTCGCTGTCATAAATGGCCACTCCCCAGCCTGCAGAGCGCAAAGCGGGGAAAGCATCCCATCCTGAGCCGAGCCGTCACAAAAAAAAAAACGTGAGCTTCCTCCACCGCAAGGCTGGCACCAACTCCTTCCGCCTTGAACTCCCACGCTGGGTCCCAGGGCCTCCGCGCCAGGAGCTGACAGGGGTCAGGGAGGATGCAGGGAGCGAAACGCTCCTGCAGATCGACCGAGCAGCGGGGGAGTCGAGCCGCCGATGCCTGGAGCTCATGCGGGAGGTTATCTCGGCGCCAAGCTGCACGGGCAAGGCACTCAAAATGCCTGTGAAAAAGGGTGCCACAAGCACCGTGACAGATGAGGCAGTCTGCCTCCGGCTGAGGGTCGTGCTGATGCAGCCTGTGCTGGCACCAGTGCGAGCCCATGACAAGGCCTCGCAAGGTCCTCTGCCCCCGCACCCCCCAAGCTCCACCAGTACCCGACTCCACCCCGTCGCCGCCGTCTAGCACCTCACAGTGCAGCCTCTCGTTGAGGGGCCGTCAAAAAATTCGCCTATCCAACCTCTGCCGTGTCCAAGTTTGCTAAGGCCACGGTGGTCCGACAGGCGCCTAGCGGCACAGCGGGCACGGCGAGCCACGAACGCAGGCGAGACAGAAGCCAGGGACCAAACCTCACCCGAGGCTTCGCGCAAGGTCCAGGGGTCAGCAAACATCATCCCTACTCTGGCAGCAGTGAGGATCAGAGCTGCAACAGGGTCCTTGACTTGCGCCCAAGGGCGGGTTTTCGCCGCGGTGGCCTGCCCTTGGGTAAACAAGGAGGGAGGAGAAGGCGGAGGAGGAGAAGGCAGGAGGAGGAGGAGAAGGCAGGAGGGGGAGGAGAAGGAAGAGAAGGCAGGAGGAGGAGGGAGGAGGAGGAGGGAGGAGGAGAGAGGGTGATGATGCTGCCGCTACTGATGCTGATAGTGATGGTGATGACAGTGGTGGTGATGGTGGTGATGGTGATGGTGATGGTGATGGTGATGGTGATGGTGATGGTGATGGTGATGGTGATAGTGATGGTGATGTGATGGTGGTCATGATGTTGATGGTGATGTCGATGATGCTGGTGATGCTAATCCTGACGATGGTGATGGTGATGATTATGTTTATGAAGGTGACGGTGACGATGATGATGACAATGATGATGATGATGATGATGATGATGATGATGATGATGATGATGATGATGATGCTGGTAATGATGATGATGGTGACGATGATGATGATGATGATGATGATACGATGATGATGATGATGATGATGATGATGATGATGATGATGGTGCTGCTGCTGATGATGGTGGTGATGATGATGATGAGTATGAGGAGGATGATGATGAGCATGATGGTGATGATGATAATGATGATGATGATGATGATGATGATGATGATGATGATGATGATGATGGTGGTGGTGATGATGATGATGATGGTGATGACGATGATGATTATGATGATGGTGATGATGATGATGATGATGATGATGATGATGATGATGGCCTTGATGATGCTGCTAATGATGATGACGACAACGACGATCCTGATGATGAGGAAGAGATGGAAGATAATGGAAAGGGGTGAGACATGATAAAGGAGCAGGAGGTGGGATGAGGGGAGAGGACAAGGTGGAGGAAGAGGAGGAGGAAGGAAGGAAGAAGGAAGGAGGAAAGAGGAAAGAGGACGAAGGAAGGAGGAAGGAGGAGGGAGGAGAGAGGCCCCTGGACGCATCTGGGGACCTGGAGGCCTCCGGGGTCTCTGAGCGTGCAGGTGGCGAAGCGCAGGCAAGCGAGGGGAATAGAGGGGAGGAGGGGGAGGAGGTAGCGAGCGAGCGAGCGATGCCTTGGCAGCGGGTGTCTCTTGAAGGCAGCACGGGCGCATGGCCTTGCGGAAAACAGCGCTGCCGGCGACTTCAAGATGTGCTTAGGGCACATGCGCGAAACCTCATGGCCCACTGTGAGGCTCACGTCGACTAGCGGGCAAGGTCCAACAAGCAAACCACACCACATTACAGCCGGCGGTTGCCAAAGGTGCCCCTGGCCCAGGGTGCCCCCAGCTTTTCGCTCAATCTTGGAGCCCCTGGGGCCACCTGGGCCTCGTGAGGGGTGCTCTGGAGGCCGTGGGGGCCTCCTTGAAAATCCTAGGGATAGGTTGGCATGTCCTCCTGCAGGCGGAGTGTGCGAAAAAAATACGGAAACAAATATTCAGAATAGACCCAAAAAGTCTGAAAAAAAACAACGTCCCCCGACCATTTGTCTACTACTTCTGAATGTTCCTCCTGTAGAGGGACACGCCCGATTTCATCCTACAAGCCTCGTCAAAATCAAACAGAAGACATCTGAATTCGGTGATTGTGGGATCAGCGCCACTCCAATGCTGACGGATTCCTGTTGACTCGGACGCGGTGTTGTCCAAAAACCGACCCCACCCTCTCAGCATTGAAGAACGCGCTTTCTGACAAGTGCCCGGAAGTATCGTGCCCCAGGATTTCAACTTCCATTTCTGGATATTTTTGACGAGGCTTGTAGGGGCACCTTGGGCCAGGGCGCACTTCTGGCAACACCCGAAGCAGAGAGCACGCGACGGCGCGCCCCCGACGGGTGCTTTTTTTCGGTCCTGCTGCAAGTGAGAGTGCCTACACGAGCCGTGGGCCCGCGCGAGGGTGGGAGGAGGATGCGAGGAGGGAGGAGGAGGCCGTCAGGGAGAGAGAGGAGGAGGATGCGAGGAGGGGAGGAGGATGCGAGGAGGGAGGAGGAGGCCGTCAGGGGGAGAGAGGAGGAGGATGCGAGGAGGGAGGAGGAGGAGGAGGAGGATGCGAGGAGGGAGGGTGGAGCAGGCCGTTGGGAGGAGGGAGGAGGGAGGAGGATGCGAGAAGGGAGGAGGGAGGAGCGAGATGAGGGGAGAATGCGGGAGAAGAGAGGAGGATAGGGGTCGACTCACTTCGCCCGGGGGGGGACCTCCCATCTTAGCAATGGATGCTCGAACCGTGGTCCTGTAACGCAGACAACTCCTGTCGACATTGTGTCACTAGCGTTACCTTCTTCATCGTACACAGCATAAAGCAACTCACCCCAAACCTCCTAAACGATACTACTCAACCAAGGACGTGGTGGGAAGGAGTCTCGCCCACGCGTTCGAAGCTAGACCGAACAGGACAGCAATATCTATCCACTGCCGTCGCCCGAAAAAACGACAATCGTGACATGGTAGATGATCCAACGCCCGCCTGCCCGCAGCCACAGCACTGCGGTACCGGTGCTAAAAAAACATCTGCTCGGTGCCAAAATGGCTGCGGCCCGCCTTCGCGATGTCCCTGTCGCCCCCTGACAACCCAGACCCCCGACATCGTGATTCTTTCATACCGTCGGCCCCCATTCTCTGGGACCTGTTTCTCATCGCACCGCATCGCCAGCGGCACGGAAGCTGTCTGAACAATCACGCGTCGCCTTCACACCTCGTGGCATCCAGTTTTTCATCCCGAATCGTTCCTTGACGGCTCCGGGGCCCGGCGAGGGCCCCCAAAGGCCGAAGCAGCCAAAAAACCGCCCAGCATGATTGTTGCATGGCCCGACGGGTGGCCTGGGAGGTTTTCCTGTGGCCCTCTGTCGCTGCAGCCCAGCTTGCGGGGTAAGTTTAGGTCGGGCGTGTCCTCCTACAGTTGTGGATGCCACGACAATGGACACCCTAACAGGCCTATGGTATAAACATGTTTTAGACATGTTTGCTTCACATGTTTAGAACATGTTTAACACATGTTTCAGACATCTTGACATTAGTTAACAGCATGTTTCCTCTCCACTGACCGCCCTCCACAATCCTGCAGGCGGATCTTGCAGGAGAAAGAACAAGGAAGAAGCAAGAAGCAAACATACGCTTGAAGATGCCTCCCGTCGAGGGACACGCTCGACTTCAGGGCAGGTGTGTCCCGGGATCTGAAGCCCCCCCTGGGCACACTCCTCATTGAGTTGAAGTCGGGCGTGTCCCCCTACAGGGGGATTTTCGACGAAACATCAAACATACCCCAAACATGCTCCAAAATTGCAAAAAAATGTTCACAAAATCGTCCCCAGAATATTGTTTGGCTATTGTTGAATTTCCTGTAGAGGGACGGGCCCGACAGCTGCGAGTCACGTAGCAGCGCGCCGCGAGAGGGACGGAGCACGGGGCAACGCGGATGGGAACCTCGAAACGTGTGAAGGGTGTGCCAAAGTGGACTGGGAGACGCATGCTAACTTGGCCACTGGGGCCTTCGGCGGAGCTCCCCATGGGCCACGAAACATGTGAGGGGCGTTGACTGCACATTCACCGACGCCACGCCCACCGCACGCTGCTCCGCCCGTGGAGAGGCGCACAGCCCGAGCCACACGTGCAGCGCAGGCATCCTATGTGCGGCACAGCGCTGCCCGGGCGGCATGACCAGAGGCCGGACTGGGCGAAAGGGGGGGATAGCAAAGGGTTGGGGTTGAGAATCTAGGGGGCCACGTGCGAACCCTACCCCTATCCCCCACGATTTCTGAGAGGGAGGGTGGGGTTCACTTCGTTCGGGAGCTCTCGAGCGAAGTGAACCCCACCCTCCCCCTCAGAAATCGTGGGGGGTAGGGGTAGGGTTCGCATGTGGCCCCCTAGAATCAGCTCACGGAGGGAATCCCAGAATCGCCCCGGGGCGGAGCTCTCTGGGCGCAGGCCCAGAGATCCGAAGACTCGACACGGTGGGGGCATTCATGGGACAGGGAACCCTCAGAGAGGAGGAAGCCGGGGCCCGGGGGACAGTGGGACTCCGATCGCGGCTCGGCCACGAGCATCACCGCCGCCCCCAGTGGGCGAGGGAACCCCCCAGGGTCAGCAGCCTCTCGGGCACGGTCCTCCACGAAGGCCCCCCCCCCCACCGCAGTTTCAGTCCGGCGCGTGTTTTCCCGGATGTGTCGGCCTCCGGGTCTCGTGTCGGGTCGGGCGAAAGGGGGGGATAGCAAAGGGGGGGGGGGGGAGAATCAGCTCACGGAGCTGTTTTTCCCAGCGCCTCCCGGCGCCGGGAGGCGCCCATGGATCGAGGAATGGGCCCCTCGGTGGGGCCGAAACCAGCTGCATGCGGCAGAGTTCGCAACCCCCCCTTTCCCAATTCCCCCCTTTCGTCCGGCCCGAAGAGGGCGCCCACCACCGAGCATGCACCAGAAGACTTTGGAGTCCCGAAACGGTGCGGTGACAGACCGTGCGGTGACCTCGGAACCCCAATCCCCCCCCTTCGTCCGGCCCGATTCTCGCACCAGGCGCTCTCGGCCGGCGTCGGGCCCCCCCTCTTGGGCCCTCGGAGACCGATCTCGGGCTCGCGCAGCGCCGCAGCAGCAGCCGGGCTCCCGCCGTGGGGGGCCGCCAGAGGGGCCTCCGCCGCAGCGGGAGGAGGGCCGCGGCGGCGGCGGCGGCTCGGAAGTGCGGGCTCTCGAGCGCCTCTCGGCCCCTTCCCGGGCCCCCCAGGGGCCTCTCGCGGGCCTCCCTCCACCCTCCACCCTCCTCCATCCTCCCTCCTCCCTCCTCCCCCCTCCCTCCTCCCCCC